TAGAACTGCACAAATGAATACATTTCCATGCAATAAATTCTATTGGGCTATGCTTGATGATGCAAGAGGACCTTTAGCACTATTGGTAGGATATATTTCTAATCTTCTGGAAAAGTTATAAACCTCAGTACTTTACAACCCTTCACCAGAATCACAACAAACTCCTCTCTTCTCCCCAGTAACTACAGTAATGTAACCAGGATTTGATTGTTTACAAAATTAATGAAAGATGATGCCATTACATTATTATTGAAAAAAGACTGAAGTGATAGACCACTGACACTTGATCAAAAAAAAATCATAGGGAAGCAGAAAACCTCTGTGAACTCTGCTTTAGAAATATTGTACAAAGAATAAAGCACAGACTTGGTCCTGAGAATGTGGGTGAACTTTAAAAAGAAAGATTAATTTAAGGAATATAATCAATTTATTAAAATAATTAAAGGTAATTATTTGTGTGATATTTCAATTAATATAAAAAAGAGATTAGAATGGTGAAGATAGAAGAATATCAATTCAATTAACAGAAACAAGAGATAATTTAAAAAAAAAAAGAAAAAAAAAGAAAACTAACAGTTTTGCCTGGCATCTTTTCAAGAATAAAATCATTTATAAATTTAGTCATGTAAACACAAGGACAACAAAATATGATCACTTTCTTTTATTTTTTATTTTTTTAAATATATTTTTATTGATTTCACAGAGAGGAAAGGAGAGGGAGAGAGAGAGAGAGAAACATCAATGATGAGAGAGTCATTGATCAGCTGCAGCCCACAACCCGGGCATGTGCCCTGACCGGGAATTGAACCCTGATGGCCTGGATCCTAGGTCAACGCTCAACTGCTGAGCCACACCCTGCTGGGCATGATCACTTTCTCTTAAAATACAATAAAAATAGCTCAAATATATATATAAATATATAATTCATTTTTTGTTACTAAAAATAATATTTGGCCTATTAGAATTCACCAATACTCATAAACATATGAAAAATTACATGTCAATAATCAATATAAGCAAGAAACAAAAGTAAAAAAATGTATTAGTAAAATACATATAGGCAGGCCTTAGCCAGTTTGGCTCAGTGGTTACAGCCTGGGCCAGTGGACTGAAGCGTCTCGGGTTCGGTTCCAGTCAAGGGCATGTACCTCTGTTGTAGGCTCGATTGCAGGCAACCAATTGACGTGTGTCTCTCACATCAGTGTTTCTCTCTCCCTTCCACTCTGTCTGAAAAGCAATGAAAAAAATATCCTCAGCTGAGGATAAAAAAATAAAATAATAAAATAATATACAATAAGTATAGGAGGAATTAATATAGATAATTATTTTTATAGAAGCCTTGAATACCCAGATGTGCTAAATAAGAGAAGCAATCCATTATGTGATGAAGTAGATAACATAAAATTTTCAATATACAATGAGAAGGAATAAAATTTCTTTTAATAATGAAAAATTAAGTTTTAGAGGATGTTAGACATTCTCTTTTCAAATCAATAAATACCTTAAAACTGAGTCTATTCTACTTATTAAAAATATTACCAAAATATAAATACAATTTCAAGATGAGAAAATTCAAAGTAAAATGAATGCATTGCCAGAATAAGTGGCCATGACACATTTAAGTGTTTTAAGTGACAAAGTCAGCATTTAGATGGTGACCCCACCATTCTCTTAAAATTGTTTCTGTAAATGATGACCGGTTAACTAATATGTGACTGCAGATAAACAGCTGGCTTGCTTAAGAATTCTAGGAACTAACTTTAAAAGAAGCAGACCCTGACCTTCAGACATTACAGCTCTGGGAGATTTATTGACCTTCAACCACAAAACCAGGATGACATAAAACCAGGATGACGTAAAAGCCAGGTGACCAAAATCTCCTGACCAGTTCCGAGGTGGCTACCAGAGCAGACTGTGCTGACTCCTGTGAAGCACCCTAATGGCCAGTCCACGCCTCCTCCAAGCCCCTCCTCTTCTGTTCTGCCTTCCCCTTCCTGCTAACAGAAATCCTTGCCTGCACTGACATCTTAAGATGGTTTCTGCATTGTCTAAATGTGCCACAGCCTTTTTCTTTATTGTTGGCAGTATTACAGGTGTCCCCCACTTCTCCCCCTTGGTTCCCCTTCGACCAGCCCTGGCCTTCCCCACACTATTGTCTTCGTCCATGGGTGATTCATATATGCATATAAGCTCTTTGGTTAATTTCTTCCTGCCCCCCTATCCCCCTCCCCTCTAGGACCTGTCAGTCTGTCCCATGCATCCATGCCTCTGGACCTATTTTGTTTGTTAGTTTATTTTGCTCATTAGGTTCCACATATAAGTGAAATCATGTAACATTTGTCTTTCTCTGACTGGCTTATTTCTCTTAGCATAATACTCTCCAGGTTCATCCATGTTGCCTCAAAAGGTACGAGATCTTTCCTTTGTATAGTTGCATAGTAGGGAACCCTGGTACACTGCTGGTGGAAATGCAGACTGGTACAGCCACTATGAAAAACAGTATAGAATTTTCTCAAAAAAATTAAAATAGGAACTGCCTTCTGACACAGTGATCCCACACTTCTATTAATATACCCTAAGAACCCTGAAACACCAACTAGAAAGAATATTTATACCCTTATGTTCATAGCAGCATTATTTACAATAGCTAAGATCTGAAACAGCCCAAGTGCCCATCAGTAGATGAGTGGATAACACAGCTTTTTTATCCACTCATCTACTGATGGGCACTTGGGCTACTTCCAAATCTTGGCTGTTGTAAAAAACACTTCAAAGAAAATAAGTGTGCATATATTTTTGTATCAGTGTTTCAGGTTATTTCAGATAAAATATGCTAATTGTAATAAGCCAGTCAGAGAAAGACAAGTACCATATGATTTCACTCATATGTGGAATTTAATGAACAAAAGGAAATAACAAGCAAGTATACATAGACTCATAGAGAGAGAGCAGGCTGAGAGCTGTCGAGGGGAGCCTGGAAGGGGGAGTGGAGAGGGGGGATTGAGTAAAAAAGAAAAAAAGAGAGAGAAAAACTCATGGACAAGATCAATATTGTGGTGATTGTGGGAGCAGGAGGGATAGGTAGAGAAGGATATGGGGGGGTAAATGGTGATGGACAGTGACTGGACTTGGGGTGGTGAACACACAATACAACGTACAGATGGCGTGTTGTAGAATTGTATACCCGAAACCTGCATAATTCTGTTAACCAGTGTCACCAAAAAAAAATTCGATAAAAAATAAAAATAAAAAGAAGGTCTTTGTGATGTGAATCCACAGTCTTCTCAAGCTGCCTACTCTTGTGTATATGGCTTCTTTTTCCTTCCACCAGCCCCTGCCTCTTGATACGGGCTTTCGAGCAGCAGGCCGCTGAACCTGGGTTTGATATAAGCATAGACATTACTTATAAAATTGGTTAGGTTTTCTTAAACAGCAAACTGAATATGATACTCTGTCAAATGGTATATTTGGGGACTTTGGAAATCTTGATATCAAGACTCTTTTACCCACTCTCCCACCCCCAGAGCCTAGTATTTTTAAGTAGCAGTTTAGTTATTGAAAGAGAGAATAGATGCCTTGCTATAAATACAAAAACCTTATTTATACAATTTTAAAGTATTTGTTAAATAAATAATTGTGTTTTCTATATATGGGAGAGAAAAAAAAATAGAATGGATAACTATAATGATAGAAGCCCATTTGGTTTTTGTTACTTTTAATTAGTTATAAATAAAAAGGGGCTCTGTAGTAAATCTGACAAGCTCAGTGACCTAAAACAACCTCAGAGAATAATCAGATTATAAATTCCTAACTGGGCAGGTCTTGTGGGTAGTCACTTCTCAGGCCTATAACCTCCTTAGTAAAAAAAGTTTTATCTTTGCCTTGAGCATGCCCTGTCCATTGGTCTCTGCATCTAGGTTAACAAACCTTTGAAATGCCAGAAAATCCTCTTTTTCAGATCTCTCAAGAGGTGTAATCACCCTCAAGGGAGCCCATGATCTTCCTGCCTGTATGCCATCCCTACCTATTTGCTATAAATACTAAATGTTAACTATCTTGTACCCACCAATGTAAAAGATGCATGTATCTTTCCATTTTACATTTTTCTTTTTCAGTCACAGGGATTTTCCTGTCTTACCCTGCCTTTCTCAATCACCAATGGCTTTATGTAATCTTACTTTGATTCCAAATGCATAAAAAGTACTATAAAACTGCCATTCTCCGGAGTATTTTCTCAATCCATTGAAATCTTGCTTCTGGGCATGTCTTCAGTCTGCCTCAAATAAACTCTAATAAACTCATAAAATTTTCTATAGGTTTGGATGTTCTGACGTCAACAGGGTAAATACAATGAAAATATAACAAAGCAATGCAGAAATTTCTGACCAGTCCACTATGTTTCCTTGTTTTGTTTTACTTCTGTGTTTACTTGAGCAATACTTTTAAAATTTGTTCTTTTTTTCGTATTCTGGGTAAATAAACAGGTTTTTGAATCTGTTTTAATTTTCAAACCAAAGGATTCCTGAAAGAATTCTTTCAAAACAACTATATCCTTATGGTCTAGAATCATTAAATTTAGAAAATTATGAAATTCTCCAAATTTGAAAACATGGTGTGTTTTTTCTTATTTGAAAATACTATTTTTATTTTAAATCAGTTAGTCAATTTTAAATATCAAATCATTATTTTCCACATTAATTTAATATTTTGAGTTAAATACATCCATAGATGTAAATAAAATAACTTAAGTAGAAATGTTTGTGTTCTAAGCTTTAGGTCAACTCAACCACAGTTGCAAAGCAAAGACATTCTGTACATGCTTTAAAAAGGTTTTGTGAAAAAAAGTAAATTTCAGCAACTTATAAGACAACTTAAGAGTTAAACATAAATCTAGAACATGTAGTTGGTTTTATGAGAAAAATATTTCACAAAATATAGCAAAGTAAAGAAATTAAAACTAATTTGATTACTGATTTGATTACTTTTTTCTTCGTTCTTAGATGACAGTCGGCTGTGTGACTGGATGCTGAGTTGGAATAATTATTGGATTTGGAAATGTAAATACTATGTAACACATGGTTATACTTTCTATCAGCTCTTCTCAGTCTATCAGACCTTTGTAGCTTCATCTCTTTATCCAGTTTAAAAATATAACTATTTTTAATTATATCTTATATTAAGAAATGCACCATAGATCCAAATTAAATAAATGTAAACACATACATACACAGATGACTGGAACAACTTTGGTATAATAACTATTCTTACTGTATACATACACTCTGAATTTTCATCCTGTAATTATGCTTAAAAGTTTTAAGCCAGTAAAATCTAACCAAATATATTTTAATTATCAGTAATAGATTATAGTCCAAGTTTGAAAAACTTTGCCTTAAAATTTTTGAGGGTTTTATTTTAGACGTTTATCTAATCCTTTCTAGGAATTTGTAGTCTTCCAAGTTCATCATTACCTAAGTCTCTAGAAAAGGCAAGCCCAAGGTCACAAGGGCTTTAAACACATCCTATTTCTCAACTACTGCTTTTTGTAATATTAATGAAAAATAATGCCCAAAGGATAAGAGAAGGGTCTTTATATATCTGTCATTAAATAAGACTTCTCCAAAGCCACTTCTCTGCTTAATTAATTACTGAACAGTCCTCTGAGAGAAATACTACTCAATATAAGACAATATTGTATTAATAATGACTTCACAGAGGAGGATATTTCTGTGTCAAGAGCAGGAATCCCCTTTACAATGGTTTTCTATGTTTGTATTGTTATATTGCTGCTTTTATATTTGTTTTTGGTTTTGTTTTGTTTTTAATAAACCCTCTACATGAGACCTGGTGTGTCTATAGAATGTACATTTCTAAATCCTTGGTCTGGGAGTGTATATGTTCAGGCATGAAAGTCCATGACTGAGTAACCTTAAAACAAAAAATAGATATTTAGATAGAATATGTCTAGGATAAAATTACTCTCCAGTTGATATAGTTTTGATAAATAAAACTATAATAACACACAGAGGAATTAGTTTTTTTTGAGAAGCCTTGTAGGTCAGTCATATTGAATGTTAAGAATTACAGTACTGAAGGTTATAACAAAAAATACTGTATGATCTCCCACCCTGATGTAAAAACATACAAAAAGTAAACCATATAAGTTAATATATTTTATATGACTATTAAAATATAAAGAAAGGATTGTAACATGTATGCTTGGAAGATAGATTATCTGAGAGAGAAAATGATAGTGACAAGATAAAGGGTTTATTAACCCTCTTTTAAAATATTTTGCATAGTTTATTTTTAATAATGCCCACATATTCCCTTTGCATTTTAAGAAGAAATAAAATTTATTTTGAAAATTTAAAATACAAGTGTATATGTGTGTATATGCATATAAAATATAAAAATGGCTTATAATTATGTGCTTTCCAATCATTATTATAATGTTAGATAGAATTTTCAACTACAAATTGAGTGTATCATTTTTTAAAAGTTTAATTTCATAGAAATTTGGTATTTGAAAATCACAAGGTGCCCAGCCATAGTGTAACTATGAGAAAAGAAAGTTTCCAAATAACTTAATTCTGTTTCTGAGTGGGGAACACTAAGAACTTACATCAGAATAATGCCAAAATCCAGGAGGAGATCAACATTTAGGAATGTAAGATAATCAGACATTCTTGTAACAATTAGATAAAATATCAGTAAATATAGCAACTATACAATGTCTGTATATGTATTAAGAGGTCAGAGAAACAGAATTTTAAAGATGCTGTCACATTTAAATCAAGCTCTTCTTGGTTTTCAGTTTTCATTTTACTTCATTTCATTTCATGTCTCTCATTTTATAACTAAATGATTTAATTCTGCTAATTAATAATTAGATGTGAGAATGGTAGTGCCCATGTGCAGAACTATCACAGTAAAAATGTCTTTGAACGGGTTCATGAAAATGAAAGGAAGGAAGAAGGTGTGGGAAGGAGGCAAAAAGGAAAAGAGTAGAAAGGAAGAAGGGAGGGAGGAAGGGAGGAATGACGGAAGGAAGAAAGAAAAGAAAAAGGCAGAAAATAGAGAAGGAAAATAAGAATTCTACTAGGCATAAGGGAAAAGAATATTCTCTTGTTATATCTTATCTTGTATAAAGGCTGTGCTGGAATTCAGAAGTATGATTGGCTACCAAGTAATAAGCCATAAAGAATAATTACCTAAAGCTATAATTATTTACTTTTTCTCCAAAAGAAATGGATTCCAACAATCATTTTATGAGAGTATGCTGTTTCTTAGAAAGTGCTGGAGATACAAATCCCAGTTCTTTAAGATCCTCTCTTTCAAAGCTTCCTTTGAAAAGCATCATCCTTCTATGAATCCAGCATTGCTTCAGAAAGCAAGGTTACCGCAAAATTGATTAGGTAAACACTCTATTTAGTTACACCGCAGTCGATAAAATCAGGGAGCCCTAATTGGATTTAGGGTTTTCAAAAGACTCGTCAGAAAAACTTATACAAACCATTTCTTAAAGTGGTTTTCTGTACACTGCCAACACCACTCCTTACGTACTGAATGTTATTATTTTCAGTTTTAAAGAGTGACTTTCTACTGACATTGTCTCTAATTTCTAACTTGAAATACCTTTTGTACTCTTTGAGTAAATACTCTAAAAAGTGATGAGTAACTCATTCATTCCTATGTTTCAACTCTAACTGCTTAGTATCTAGTAATCAAAAGTGAGTTAAAAATTCATTAACCCATGCATTTTTTTATTTCTGCAAATTTCTGAATACATGTTGTCTTTTATAACAGATAAATTGGAAATGAAAAATAAATTAATTGGAAGGCTAAGTTCTCTATCATGCTGTTTTTTGCTTGTCTCACAAAGAGTTTGTTTCTCATATGATTTTTAAAATGACAATAGATTTACTAATTTTTATAAAACTTTTACTAACAACAGTTCCACTTTAATGTATTACTTCTTTTTGAGAAGCTAGTATTAGAACAAAGTCCTTTTATTAAAATAAACTGAGTATCTTTTCTAGAACCATAGACTGTTGGCATGTAATTCAACATCAATACATTAAAGTCATTACAAATAATTGGTGAGTCTTTCTCTACTCTGAATTTAGTAGGAATTCCTTTTATTTGCAGTAATAATGACAAAAACATATGTTCTGTAATGTTTTTAAAAAAGGTTGAGAAAGGTTAATTGTCACAGATGAAAAAAAGCTAACAGTGCTTAAAAGATTCCATTTTCCTAAGAAATTATAAATTCTAAAAGAAGGAACTTCATCCACACAATACAACAAAACTGTACAGAATCACTGGATGTGTTTTTAAGTGGAAAACATGAGACTATAAATCTATATGAAAGAATGTTGTAGTATTAGTAAATTTAAAACTGCAGGAAAAAGTAAAGGGCCTGACAATTTCAAAGGCCCATCAGGCAGGACCAGTACTTTGTAAACAAACTCTTAGAGCTTACAGTGAAAGTAAGATTTCATTGTATAATTTTGTTAATGTGTAACTAAAATAATTCCATAAAAGGGGGAAAATGATAAAAAGAAAAACAAACAAACAAAAAAGAAAGAAAATGACCCTAACAAAGAAATCAATATACTAAATTGCAATTCCGTTAGATTTTTCCCCCCAAATTTCTGAGCTCATATGTCCATGAGAGTATCAACTTGCTTATGCTGAAGTATAAGGCTTCTGCTTATGCTAAATTGAGGACAATATATTTTTGGTTTTAATTTAAATTTTATTTTTCAATTATAGTTTATATTCAATATTTTTTGCATTATTTTCATATGTATTTTCAGCATAGTGGTTAGAAAATCACATATATACTTTACAAAGTGATCCCACTGATATTTCCAGTAGCCATCTGGCACTATACATTGGTATTACAACATTAATGACTATGTTTTCTATACTGTATTTACATATCCATGACTATTTTGTAACTACCAATCTGTACTTCTCAATCCCCTCACATTTTTTACCCCAACCCAACTCCTCTCTGGCAAACATCAGTCTATTCTCTGTATCTATGTGTCTCAATTTTGTTTGTTTATTTTGTTCTTTAGATTCCACATATAAGTAAAATCCTATGGCATTTGTCTTTCTCTGGCTGAATTATTTCACTTAGCATAATACCCTCTAGGTCCATCCATGATTTTTACAAATAGTAAGATTTCATTATTTTTCATGGCCAAGTAATATTCCATTGTATATCTTTACTAACACTTGTTATCCACTCATCTGTTGATGAGCACTTGTGTAGCTTTCAAATCTTGGCTATTGTAAATAACACTGCAATGAACAGAGGGATGCATATATTCTTTTGAGTTAGTGTTTTGGGTTTCTTTGGATATATACACAGAAGTGAAATCTTTGGGTCATAAGGCAGTTTAATTTTTAATTTTTTGAGAAACCTCCTGTTTCCACAGGGGCCATACCAATCTGCATTCCCTCCAACAGTACACAAGGATCCCTTTTCTCTACATTGTCACTAATACTTGTTTGTTGATTTCTTGATGACAGCCATTCTGACAGGTGTGAGGTGATATCTCATGGTTTTTAATTTTTTTTTTCATTTTTCTGATGATTAGTGACATTAAGCATCACTTCATATGTCTATTGGCATCTGTATGTCCCCTTTCAAGACATGTCTATTCAGGTCCTTTGTCCATTTCTTAATCGGATTGTTTAGTTTTTTTTTTGGTGTTGAGTTGTACATGTTCTTTATAAATTTTGGATATTTACCCCTTATCAGATGTATCACTGGCAAATATCTTCCTCCATTCAGTAAGTTGTCTTCATTTTGTTGATGGTTTTCTTTGCTATGCAAAAGCTTTTTAGTTTGATGTAGTCCCATTTGCTTGTTTTTGCTTTTGTTTGTCTTGTTCAAAGAGATTTATCAGAAAAAAATATTAAATATTGCTAAGAAAAATGTCAAAGATTTTACTACCTGTATTTTCTTCCAAGAGTACCTGTCCAATTTTCCCAACACCATTTATTGAAGAGACTGCCTTTACTCCATTGTATGCTCTTGCCTCCTTTGTGAAATATTAATTGAGCATAATGGCTTTGATCAATATCTGGGTTCTCTGTTCTGTTCCACTGATCTATATACCTTTTTTGGGGCCAGTACCCGGCTGTGTTGATTACAATGGCTTTGTAGTGCAGTTTAATATCTGGTATTGTGGTCCCTCTAAATTTGTTCTTCTTTCTCAAGATTGCAGGGACTTTTTTGGTTCCATATAAATCTGTGAAATATGCTGTTGGTATTTTAATAGGGATTGCATTGAATCTATAGATTGCCCTGGGTAGTATGAACATTTTAATGATGTTAATTCTACCAATTCATGAACATTGTATATTCTTCCACTTGTTTATATCTTCCTCTATCTCTTTTTGCAACATCCTGTAGTTTTCCAAGTATAGGTCTTTTACCTTCTTGGTTAAGTGTATTTCCAAGTAACTTAATTTTTTCGTTGAAATGATAAATGGGATTTTTTTCAATTTAATTTTTTTTTTTTAGTTTTCTTTTCTGAGAGTTCATTATCTGTGTATAAAAATGCCGCCAATTTCTGGTGTTAATTTTGTATCTTGCTACCTTTGCCTAATTCATTTATTAAATCTAGTATTTTTTTTGATGAAGTCTTTAGGGTTTTCTATGTACACTATCATGTCATCTGTGGATAATGACAGTTTTACATCCCCCTTTCCAGTTTGGATGTCTTTTATGTTTTCTTCTTGTGGATCACTGTGGCCAGGACTCCCAGTCCTATGTTGAA